TCGCTCCGAGTTATTCGAAGAACCAGTACTTCTACTCCGAGCCAGGATTACCCGAGGTTTAAAGTGAGAAAAAGAATCCTCTGACACACGATATCCAGGCGATATTTAGAAAGGTAGTGGACAGTGATCGCTTGACTTGCAACGTCCATAAGCGTTTTGACGTTTTGACGCTGATACGGCTACTACCTCGCTGCGCGTGCAGAGAGATGTTCTCTTAATAGGTTTCCAGCAATTACCCTGGCGAGCATTTTATTCAACCTTGGAATCACTTTGTACCTGGATTGTATAATTATCGTATGTACCACCGAGCTGGCAGTATGCTCGTCGGAAGATGCCTATGCCATATCAAGAACATCTGACCCTTTTACCATGGAGTCACTTGGGGATAAAATTACAGGTGGGTTCCCTGCAGCCACTCATGATAAGTTTTACTCCTGTTAAAGATAGATAATGTTATATTATTTTATATTATTTTATTTCATATATATATATATTTTATTTCAATTCTTTGTTTTTTAAATTTAGAAAAAAGTTTGGCTCGTTGTTTATAGAAATTCTAAAAATATTTCATAATATTCGAAAAAAGCGTAAAAAGAATATAACAGCGAAACAGAATTCGATGATTCGAAATATGGAAGCAAACCGAAGAAGTCAGGTCAATATCATAAATCTTTATTAATTTTATCGAACTCTGGCAGAACTCGGCAATGATGAGAATATCAAACTATCAAACATGCTTGCTCGTCGTTTAAACAAAAAGTTGTCATAAATTATTAGTTGGGAAAAACATTGAAATTACCAGTGAAAATATTCACTGTTCGAAAAATTTCAAACTGGCCCACAAAGGTCGAGTTGAGCAGAGGTGCATTGGCGTGAAGATTATGGAAGTGAAAGTTTCGTTTTTGATGCCAGAAAACTTGAGCCCTCTTGCGAATATTCAACTGATTCGATGAGAGGATTTCCAGAAGATGCATCAGCTATCATTCACCTCGGTTTAAGTCAAGGTGATCCAGATTTATAATTTTGATTTAAGAGTATATAATGTAATGAAAGTAGTATAATATATAAATTTCCTCATCTAGTACTAGTTGAGCTACCTATTTTATTGCATATCAAACAGTCTTTACATCTTTTTTGCAGATTTTTATAGTTTGCATTATGATTATAGTTTACAAAACGAGTGGTCCAACTTAGGAATTGCTTTTATTATTCCAAATAGGTCAACAAGTTTTGATGCCAAAATAGTTGAAACATGAGTATGGTGTTTCAACATAATTCGTTTTTTTAAGAAATTTCATCCCCTAATCTCATAAGAAATTCTAGTGGTTCATATTTCTCCTAATCTCATTAATCATGTTAACTGTTAACTGTTTTTTTTTCGATTATTCTTTCTTGGACTTAATAGGATAAGTTCAGATTCATTTTTTCTTTTTTATTTTCTCGGTTTCTTTTTACTTATTGTTGTTATTTGAAGATATTGGTAGTAACGAATAATGAAACGTAACGGAAAGTAATTTCAGTTCGTTCGCTAGCTAGAAGGATATAAAATGGGGCAATTTTAGCATAGCTGGAAGTGCATAATGATATCACGCATTCATTTATTGAATTATGTCTTATTTTATGATTTTCAAAGTCTTTTTACAGAATGAACTTTACATTGAACTTTACATTTATTCCTATATATTTCCATTCTTTCAAATAAATTTAAAATTTAATTTTTCCACAGTTTTTTCCACGCTTTATTAATCTTACTTATGGTTAATTCTCTTATCATATATTTATTCTTTATTTTACTTATTGCCAGTGTTTGCACTATAAATGAGCTAAATTTATAAGTTTATATACAATTACGTGCCAAAACAATTAGAATTAATATGAATCTAAATGGCTGAATTGTGCCATGAAATTTGAATTTTTTTCAAGTTTGTTGCGCTCTAAATCTTTGAAAATATCAAACACCAGGTTGAAAAAGTCCATATAATATTTAATTTCAAATTTACTCGTAATTCTAAAAAAAATTCACGAATTTAAGGAAATTTAGGGTTTAAATTTAATTTTTATTTTTTATTTTATAATTTAATTTAGGGTTTAAATTTTAAATTTAAAAGTTAGTTTTCATAAAAAATATATGATTAAATTACATTTAATCACGCCATTCATATTTAAATTTAATATTTATTTAAACTTTCAAACAATTTAAACAAATTTAAGCGAAAACTTGAAAAAAATTGCAAAAAATTTTGGTATGAATTTTCAGTAAGAAATAATAATAAATGTCTTTAATATTTCAGTTTCCTTTCTAGAAAAGCAATACTTTCTTCTAAATAGTTCACTGAATGTTTCATGAAATAGCTGAGGCATAGGGTTAATTGTTTAAATATTAAAAAGTGATTAAAAATTCATAAAATTTGTTAGAATTGAATTTCTGCCCTATAACACTGAGTATCAATACTAATATTAAAAAAAAATCCTAGTTTTAAAAAATGTAAAAACTTGAGATGAATATTTATTTGTTTGCTTCACATTTTGTATTTTTTCTAATGCATTTACGTGTTCTACATGATAATGTTGTTTATAAGCGCAAATCTCTTGCATTAACTGTTAAGCTTATTTTGAATCAACGATTTATAGCGAAAATATTAATAGATATCTCGGAAAAAATAAATATCTCTCGATCTCATTTATCTTCAGTATTACTGCATATCTAGCCGAGGTATAATAAATTGTATGAAATTTTGTAAAATAAAGTAAAATTGTGGAGAAGAAAAAAAAATTACGTAAAAGAACTTACTTTCGATTATTTTAATTATTATTATACTAATTGCTTTTTTAAAATTGTTTCTTTCTCTTTTTCTTTACTTAACTTACCAGGTTGACTGGTTCATTGGCGATAACTAATGTCTAAAGGGAAATTGTAATTGTATTTATATCTTTTAGCTGAATCGACTTGAGTAATAAGATTGAAAAAAAGTTCATTTCATTGTAATATTTGAATAATATTTGTTAAGACTCATTTTCCTTTTTTTTTATTACCCATAGTGCATTGCGATGGACCGAAAAATTCATATTTTTTTCATGGACATTCTCATTTTACTTGAAAGAATTTGGAATCTTCTTACTATCTTTAATCTGTTTTTATTGAATAGATTTTTTCTATTGAAAAAAAAAGAATTAGCAATTAAGCAGGAAAAAGAAAAGAGTTCAAGCATTTAGAATTTTATAAATATTAATCAAGCAACACTTCGCGTTCCATCTACGAGAATTTTTAAAGATATTAATCAGTTTTTTCATTAAGAGGGATTTTGGATTTTAAACATCTAAGAGATTTCTTTTTTTTAAAAATTAAATTTTGAAAAGAATATGAAACTCAGAATTATTTGCGTTAAGAATTTATTGAAATATTTGGCGAGCAATAGAAAAAATTTAAAAAAAAAGCCTCTTCATTTCTCATTTTATATTGTTCTTCCGGTCGTCATAAAGATGTAGAAATCGCATGCGAAAATCCGAAATAAAAAAAAGGTAAAGGAAATTTGCTAAAATTATTTTATAAATTCTCTCAAAGCATTCAGGCGAATTATTTATTTCAACGATAATGAAGCAATTTAATCCTTTCAGTTCAAAATGTTTTTTTATTTTGTGAATTTTATCAAAATGCCATTATTTCGAAACATTGCTTATTATTTGAAATTTGAAAAAACTAGGATATTTTTGAAATTTAACATTTTATCAATGCTATCAATTAAATTAATCATAGCATATCGTTTTCCAAGCGAAAAAAACAAATCGGTTTAAAAATTCGTTAAGGATTTTAGAATTTAAAGATCAACTAGATCTTTTCTTTTTTTTTAAAAAAATTAAATTTTGAAACGAATATGAAGTATTCGTTAACGAATGAATTATTTTTTCAAATAATTCATTCTTACTTATTCTTCTATCGTTTACCTACTATATATAATAAATATTGATTAAAAATATAATTAAATAATTACGTCTATAAGCCTCACTTATTGGCAAATTTTAATATAACTCATGTTCAATTTATAATATTAAACTAAGTGGTTAATAACTCAGATTATCGGATGTTGAAAGGTAAACGTCCTCCATCTGACAAGGAATAAGCCTATCGTTAAAAAATCCGAGTAACGCTAATGGTTCCTTTTGTACTTTTACCGTCTGACGACTTCCTGGCAAAAATTTCTATCAAAATAACAGAGAAGTGCGTCAAGTGGTAAGCGTTAACCACTTAAAGTGAATCAGAAAAAATAGCGTATGAAAAAGAATACTTCATTCCGTTAATATTAATTTCTCGTAATTTCTTATAATTTATCTAATTGATTAAGGAAGTTATTCAAGTTATTGTTTCATTAAATTTATATTTACACTATACTGCGGAATATTCAAAGATATTTTAGAATCACCATGATTGATGGAAGTAAATGTTCAGCTTTCGCTTTTCAACGATAATTTTTTTTCAAATTTTATAAAAAGTATAATGGAAAGTGATTATTGATTGAGCATAATTTGTTGTTTTCTTGCGTAAAATTTCCACAATTTTTTTGAAATCTGTAGAACAAACAATACCGAATTTCATCGCTAAAAATTCCAGTTGAAAATTTTCAAAAAAATATGAAAATCAGTAAAATTCATTTTGGTTCCTCTATTAGAAAATATTACTTGATAAGGCTGGGTTATACAAAAGATGAAAGTTTGCAAAGAGATACCAGAAATCTTATTTTAAAAAATTTTCGAAATTCACGATAAAAATCAGTGAAAAGCAATCATTTTAATGTCTTTCTTATGGGAACTAATTTATTTTAGTTTCAGCTAATAATTTTACTCTCTTTTTCATAAAAAATTTCTTTGCGTTTAAAAATATTTAGGTTTAATAGATATTTGATCGAGGAATAATTATGATCTTTCATATGTGGAATATTCTTGATAATTTTGATAATAATCAAACTATTTATTTTATTTTTAAGTAATTCTTGGTTATCTGTGAAATGATTTGTTCCAGTAATGATCCTTTACGTCAAGCGAGGTGATTTTTTTTAAAATATTCTTTAAGATTTTCCATTTTTTCAATTGTGTAATATTTAATGCTAACATCGATTATTAGAAAAAAAGAAAAAGGAACGTTGGTCGCCAAAATTTGTTAAAAATTTTTTGAAGTTGTGTTTTGGTCATTTATATCGAACCTTTACTTTGCATTACTGGAATAGTGCTAAATGCTACTTGCATCACAATATTCATTTTTGTATCATCACACGGATATTTCCGAAAGACTTCTTTATTGATGTACTTAATTGCTATGTGCATGTGTAATACTCTTCAGTTGTTTCTGTCGGTCTTTGTATTAATCCTACCAGCAGCTGAACAGGTAAATTTTTCTTGATTCGTAAATGATTTTAATGCGTATTAGTTCATTACTACTTTTTAGGAACAACTGTTTTCCAATTTTGGTTTGGACAACACTATAAGCCGAATTAGTTCTTTTATTATTCGAGAGAAGGTGATTTCAAAATGCTCTGGACTTTTTTAAGGAAATTTTCAGTATATTCTGGTCGAACACAGCACTAAGAGCAATTTTTTGAAAACATTTAACGCTTTTTCTGTTCGAATCACATATCCATTATTACTTGCGGCCAATTATGCTTCAATATGGATCTTAACTCTAATCTGCGCACAGAGATTTCATTCAGTTTGCGAGCCTTGGAGTATATGGAAACACAGACTACAGGTTATCAGAAACAGCCGAATACCTATAATCGTCACTATTTGCTTAGCATTAGGTTTGGAAATTATTCTTATACAAAATGGTGTTTTGAAGAAAAATTTTATTATGAGTGATCTTCAATTTTTCTTTTCAGTTTTTGCTAATTCAGTTTTTTGCAATGTGAAGTGAATAGCAGTTTTTTTATCACGAATTTTCGATGTTTTTTACCCTTTAAGATCCTTTAAAAATTTTATTTATTATGTAAGATTTAGGTCTAAACCTAATTCGCTTCTGGGAATTGGAATGGAACGATATGATAAGCCTTCGTGAAACAGCTTTAAAAAAGCATATAATATATCAAATATTGCAAGAAGGCCTCACTTATGGATTAGTTGTCTATGGATGCCCAATGATCTTATTAATATGGCTCAACGTTAATACTATCATGTTGATCTTCAAGGATGAAGTGAATTTGTTTGCATAAATTGTAAAAATTAATTTTGGCAGAAAACTAAATCTTCAAAAAGATTCATTTTGTCTTACAAAGAATGAGTAAATAAAATAGGATTATCACCGCATATATTATATTTATTATTCTAAAAGCAGTCGTATTTTGATAAAATCGAATCAATATTAAATTCTTTTAGGCCCGACGGCAAAGGCCAGGTGCAGAAAATCGAACAGCTCTCATGAGTGTATTTGTATTTATTTTCTTTTTTCTTTGTACAACTTTGGCTGTTTCAATACGTTTTATTATGTAAGTGATTTAAAATGAATTTTATTTTCTAAATTTCATATTTATGCAACATAGGCTTAACGATATGGAAGTAGTATGAAAATTGGGGAAAGTGGAAAGGCTTAATGAACTCTTTCCAAAGAACGCCTATCCTAGGATCCTACTTCCTCGTTAAACCTTTCTTTCAAAAATCTGATGACTTAGTACTGGCGACCAGTTCTACTGCCAAACAGCTTACTGACAGCTCATCTGATATGCCAGTGGAGTTAATCTAAATAGGTGCCCAAAAGCGATTTATTCATCAAAAAATTCATTATTCATTATTTTTAATCCAAAAGAGTGAAAGTCTTCCTTATTTAATGGATAATGATATGATAGTTTAATTTATTTGACGAAAAATATTTCTTTTTTTAATAAAATAAAAAATTTATTGAATTGATATTGATGGTAGATTTGCAGTGCTATTTTATTCATTGAAAAACATTTTATTCAGAGGAGAATTATGAAATAACATTTATTCAATTTGTTCAATTATACAGAATTAATATAATAAAATATAATATTCCTTTTTTATTAAACAAGTCACAACCATTATAAAAATAAATTTCATTTTAGAAACACTCAATCTATATTATAAATTCTCCAGAAATATCCAAAATTATTGTGTCCTATAGAATTTCTCACCTTTTGCTGATTTGTTTCGATTAAATTTCGAAAATTTATAGAAACATATGTTTTAATTTCGAGTTTATTGCTTAGCAATATGCTTTTTCAATGATTTTTCCAAATTATATGACTTTTCAAATTATATGACACATATTTAAATATTTAATCTTATAATATAATCTTATAATATTAAATATTTAATCTTATATTGTTGTATATATGAATGATAATTCATATAAATAATGACTTCTTTCTGGTGTAATCAGTGGATAAACAACTTTTTAATTTTTATTGACTCTTTCACTTTTTTGCCATTTTATTTTTAATTATTTATTTCGAACCAATATAAAACTTTAGTGGTGTTATCGCCGACTCAATTTTACATAGATTATTAGGCACAATATTGGGTCCTACATCCTGGCAGAAATAAAACTGCCATTCCGACTGGTACTTGGGGCCCTTCTATCTTTCTGTTTATCTCAAATTTCATATTAAAGCAGCCAGTATAGACCTAACCAGAAATGTTAATACAATCACTGCAGAAAAAAATTCAAACGAAATTTGGATTTTATTTGAGTTAGAGCATTTCTTTACATCTCAAAATATTTCATCTCACGAATTAGAATATTTATTTTAAACATATTAGAAGAATTTAAAATATGCATTTCCAGTAAAATTTAAAAATATGTCTATTGCAGGATCATTGAAAGGTCAAGGTTCACAACATCAGAATTCACATGGTTAGTGGATCTGAGTAATTTATTAATGAATATGAATGCAGTTGTGATGCCAATTCTTTGTTTTATCTTTACGCGAGGTTTTAAAGATATTTTTTTTGTTATAAGATTTGCACCTCAAGATAAACTGAATAAATACCAGCAGTATTCGAGAATCCAGCACATTTGATTTATGTAATAATTTACGTAATATTTGTCATGTTATTAATCATTATTATCATTTTTTTCTTTTTTATTATTTCGTATTCTGAAAAGTAATTTATGTTTGTTTATTTCGAATATTTTGAATTTTTATCTTATCTTAGCTTTTCGTATTAGAAAGTGTTCTGGAATTACCGGAGAATATATTTCGCTGATGTGGATCGATCCTCCCAATGCAAAATCAATAAGAAAGGGTAGAAAGGATAGAATGGTAAAAGATTAAAAAAATTAATTGTAGTTGTGAAAATAATAAAAAATTAATGAAAGAAAAATATGGAGGCGGCATGAGAAAATAAGGAGAAAAGAATGAAACAAGAAAGAGCACAACTTCTCTCTCAGGCGTCGTGCGTCGTCCACATAACCGGAAAGTTTTATCTAATTTTGGCAAATTTTGCTAATAGAAGTAAATTTTTCAAAGGTATTTGACTAGTTCAGAGAAATAAAAGTAGTCGGGCAATATTTCTCCAAGTTACCTTTCTTTTTGTAAAGCAATCATTAATAAGGCTTTTATATTTTTTTACATGACCAAGGTACAAAAAATGCACCAGCCAAATATAAAAAAAACTGTTATTGCAGATCATTGATTATTAATTAAGTGAATTCACTATGCAAAACTGGAATGACAAATTAAATATTTAGAACCACTATTTCCAATCAGCTAACTTCTTCAACAGACGAAAGACTTGTGAGGTAGTAGCTCCAATATCTGAAACTATTGTCACATAGAAAAATTTTTGGAATGTGGATTTCATTGATAACGAAAATATTCAGGACTTGAATGGCTATCTCAATGCATTCATTTTTAACAAAACAAGCATAATTGTTACTCACCCGACATTGAACATAAAATATGCAGTAGGGAATAATATTGCGCTGCAAAACAACCAAATACAGTATTTTAATGTGGATTTAACAAATTTAACCTGGATATAAAAGTTCTTTTGGGCGTTAAAACTCATTTGCAAATCTCCAGCACTTATTGTTTTTTTACTTGGCTGACGAATGAATTTTAAAAAAGAAAATAAATCATTAAATAGACTAAAAGCCAAGAAAATAAAAAAATTACGAAATATAAATCGAAATTCGACGAAAAATCCCTCAGAAAATGGATGTTGAGTAAAGATTTTTTTAATTTGGATTTATTGGCTTTTTTCTTAGAACGCTCATCATTTTTAGATTCCCTAAACTGGCTTTTTGGAGCAAATCGCCTTTGGGATGGAGTTATAAGTCGGTCCCTAGTATTTTTTGCCGATGACAGAATCCCAACATCGGCGCTTATTAAGTAAAGCAGTCATAAATCAATGCTCAAACTGTTATTAACTTTTCACGTATATAATGCAAATTTAAGATATTTACCTGTATTTATCGACTGTTTCTGGCTTGACTGGTTTGAAGAACCTACTTACTCGCCTTAATTTATTGCACATGCCGCTGAAAAAATTCCATTCAACCGCTGTGTGATTTTGAAAGAAAAATATTCTAAAAAGCTATACGCTTTTAATTTTACCAAATTGATAAATTTTTAATTCGATAAATTTTTATTTGCTTTATTTTTAATTAAAAAGTTTTCATTTCATAAATCATGGTTCAGAACAAAAAAAAACTATTTGTTATTATTTTTATTTAGAGAAATGATTAAATTTATTTCGAAAATTTTTATTGACCTCCTTATGCGACTTTTAGAGATTGTCGATGAAACATAGTCCATATCCGTTTCCATATTCAAATGCCTCACTCGACTTCCCTTAAGACAGAATGGCAACAATAAACAAGTCTGTTCTACCAATTTAGCTTACTTCAATGAATCTATTCTACATTATATGCTTATGTACATTAGATAATGAGTAAATCAGTAAAGCTAATATCCGAATACTGTCTGAAAATAATGTACTTATAAAAATATTGTGGAGATTGCAAGCCCCACAACTATAGAAAAAAGGTCAAACGTGAAATTATGTTAGTAGGATGAAGGGATAATAATTCAATTGAATTTTTTTTCAATTGAATAATTGATTTGTAATCGAGCAAAAATTTTAAAGAAATTTGTTGGAATTGATTATTTTCTATCTTATTGAATGCAAGATTATAGTAGTAAATAATAATAATCACCTCAGCATGGCTTAAGGAAGAAGATCGCTCAACCCACAACTGAAATATTTATATTTAACTGATGAAATTGTGATACGAAAATGCGAACGGAAAAAAATTAAAAATTTAAATTTTCTTCTGAAGATCTATGGAATAACCTATAAAAAAGTGATAACCACTTTTAATGAGGCTAGCTGCGCTAGCTGGTAATGCAATAAGAAATTTTAAAGGAGTTTTAATTTTAGACTAATACTGCCTGTATTTTTAAAACAAATTTGCTCTTTGTCAAAAACACTAAAAAAGAAACACTAAACACTAACACCAATTCACTAAATTTCTTCAGGACAATCTATTTGCTACTACCTCCAATCTTTATTATACATTTATAATATTTATTTATAATAACACAAATTAACTGATTTTATTAACAACAAAATTTTTTTGCTATTTTGTTCTTCTGTGAGAGTTATGACTAAGAATTATGATAAGAATATCCTATTAGAATATAATTGAAATAATTCCTTAATATTTTCTCTTTACAACCGTTAAAAAATTTTTTACTTATGCAAATTTGTGAAGAAAAGGGATTTTAAATAAGTTTCATCATGGAATCTCTTTAAAATTTTTTGGAGTACAATCTATATAATTGTAGGTGTCTAATGATACTTAACAGTGGGTGTATTGAACTATGTGTACCTCCAAATCTATTGAGAGTCATTCTTATATCATTGTTGTGAGAGAATTTTCAGTATATAACCTTATAACCTTATTCCGAAAGATTGAGGAATTTGTTACTATTATTGTTACATTGTATTATACTGCATATCCTGTATCGAAATAAAAGCTTTTTAACGATTCGTCCAAGATGTCATACTCGCATTCCCAGTCACAACAATTTGGCGACCAGTATAAAGAATTGAGGGATAACAAATTGGCCAGTAGAAAATTAGAAAATTAGAAAATAGAAAATTGCCATGAGGTAAATTTTTTTCTTTTATCTGTTTTTATTTTATTGGCTGCTATATAAATCGAAACGTGGCAGTGTTATACAAAAATCTTCGGGACCGTTGCCAGCAACAACGAATGTTCGATGCTTATCAACAGAAAATGATGGAAATATTAGCAGAGATAACTCCAACTACATCGATGCAGCAGATTGAACCTTCTTTTATTGCTGGAAGCATCTCGACATTACATTTTTATCCAAATAAAAACCAGGCATTCAAAACATGGTTTAATCGCTACTCAAACTTGCTTTCAAAAGATGTCATGGACGAATTAGCAAAATCTACTTCGCAATTTAGATAATTCAGCGTATAAAAAATAAACGAATTTAATTCTGTCTAGAAAGCCTTACGATATATTTTTCAGTGAAACTGTGGCAATTTTTGAATCATTATTTACTCCACCTCTACCTCTACTCAATAAGAGATATCAATGTTTAAAGCTAGGAAAGAAAAGAATACGAAGACTTTGTCACATTTAAAATATAATGAGAAAAAAAATTCGAATAATTCAAATGCCTAATCTTCACTTGCAGACTCCATTCGCCAGTGTTAAGTTGTTCTACAAAATCGAAGATGAGAATGCTTCACTAGCTGGTCGAGAGATATAGTCATCATTAACCTGTTGCACAATGATATGATTGAAAGAGAACGACGCAGTTCATGCAGTCAATCATAAAATCAAGGACAAACGTCCAAATCGCCCGCACGGTTTGTAACGACGAATAATTTTTCGATTTTACCTTTTCCTCATCAGTCTACAACACTAGGACAATTTGTCAAGTAAGCTTAATAAAATAGGAAGTAATTTATCTTTTATATATTTAATGCTAGAAGTTTAAAATATAAATTTTATGACTTACAGCTCCTATTAATTGATAAGTAGTACTTATCAATAGTAGTACCAACTAGTATTTTCTGTATCAATAAAATATGGTTGGATGATTCTACCGATAATCGGGAACTAAATTTCGACACGCAGATATAGAATAATAAATGATTAAATATTCGTGGAGGTAGGTTTATCATGCTTATTCTTGATTATAATAAATTTTTAATTTTTGATGATGTTTGTTCTTTTTTTGAATCTCTTTTTACCTTAACAACAGGAATATTTCTATTTTAAATCTGTATCGTCCACCTGGCTATAGTAGTAAATTCACTATGGATTTTTGCAAACTGTTACTTAGATTGAAATTATATAAAATTATTAAAATAATAAAAAATTATTCTGGTTGCTGGTAATGTTAACATATAATATATCAAACGTAGATTTGTATTTATACAGGTGTAGAGCAACTGCAACATGTTAAGATCACCACTATGTATAATACTATATTAGATGTTGTGTTAAGTACTTCTACTTCTTTTGTTGATAGCATTAATGAACCTTTTTGTAATAGTGATCACAATATTATTCATGATTCATTAAAATTAGACCTGTATCTCCCTCGAGATTTTCTAGAAATTACCGTTACTGTAATAATGAAATCCTATCCTCACAAAAATAAACTGGGATTTCTTTATCCAGTTAACTCACTCTATTGAAACGTTAATTTTAAAACAATAATTTTCTTAATAGCACCATTTTATATCTTATAGAGAATATATCCTTTTAAGGAAAATGAGCGTTAAGACAATTCCCATTTCTCCAAAATCTTTTTAAAAAAAGTGTCAAGAACCTTAATAATAAGTACAAATTAGCCAAATTGCCAATGAACATATAGAGAATGCTTTAAAAGTTTCCGTAGCGCTGTTCATAAATACTTTTAGAGCAAAGAAGAGCAATGTCAATAGAGATTTTTTCCGGATTTACATTAAAAGGAAATTTATATGTCCATGTAAACAAATAATTCTACAAAATAATGATAATACG